GGTCTGATCCAGCAGGGCTCTTCTGAGGTTCTTACAAAGGCCTCAGCCTCTCTGCTCTGTCCAGCATCCTCTCTCACACAGTGGCCAGCCAGTTCCTCTGGACGGCCAGCAACAGGGCACAGGGAGGCTGAAGCCTGCTGCCGCCACGGGGATTCAGTCTGACTGCCTCTGAGCACAGAGGTTCCCTTTAGTCTCCTTGGCCACTAGCCACCGATAGATATATCCTCCATGAATCTAATCCCCTTTTAAGGCTGTCTGCGCCTGTTTTGCGAAGACAAAATGGAGGACGATGTAAGCCATTTTAAGTCTCCTCACTGGAAAGAACGGCTGGGTGTAAAGGAAGTACATGGACCACTGCATCCACGTCAACGTTTGGTGTTGGTACCTTGACATTCGAAGACGGCACCTAGAATATTAAAGCTTCTCATTCAGAGCTGCACCTTAAGAGTCTAAAAATATTTCTCTCCCCCCCACTCCCCACGTCTCCACAAATATGACATTTTAGAGCCGCTCAAGAAGTCGGGACTGCTTCTCTGCTAAAAACCTTCAGACCAGCCGGCCATCTGTCCCCCATATAAGATTTCCCCCCCACTGTGACGGTGGGTTTTGGTGCACCCGGTCAATTGATTGCCCCCTTGGGGGTAATTGATACTTTAAGTAAATTTGTTTTTAAGCAACGCTGCAGCCCCGTAAGACACGGCTGTTAGGATGCGCGAGGCGGTAAAAGGTTTGTCCTGTATCAAAGCAACACAAAGTGACTTTCAGAGGCTGGGGAGGGTTTGAGTTTCAGCGGGGGGTGGGGTTGGAAGGAGGGGAAAGACAGCTGGGTCTAAGGAATGAGCTCATACTGACATAGGGAGGGAGGTGGTGGTGGTGGGGGAGAAACAGACAGCACAGCTTGGGAAATAGAAAGGCAGCGACAATGGCAGAAGCCAGCCTGGGGGATTTGGGGAATCTACTAGAAAAGTTGGCTTCCGCTGTCCCAAAAAAATTATTATATGATCTACTCCAGGGGTGGCCAAACTGTGGCTCGGGAGCCACATAAGAGAAGCCAATGTTGGATCAGGCCAATGGCCCATCCAGTCCAACAGTCTGTGTCACACAGTGGCCAGAAATACCAGGTGCCATCAGGAGGTCCAGCAGTGGGGCCAGAACTCCAGAAGCCCTCCCACTGTCCCCCCCCCCAAAGCACCAAGAATACAGAGCATTACCTGCCCCAGCCTGAGAGTTCCTATCTATACCTTATGGCTAATAGCCGCCCACCAATGGACCTCTGCTCCATATGTTTATCCAGACCTCTCTAGAAGCTTTCCATGCTTCTTGTAGTTGCCGCCACCGCCTCCTGTGGCAGTGAATCCCATGTGTTCATCACTCTTTGGGTGAAGAAGGACTTCCTTTTATCCATTCTAACCCGACCGCTCAGCAATTTCATGGAGTGCCCATGAGTTCTTGTATTGTGAGAAAGGGAGAAAAGGACTTCTTTCTCAACCTGCTCCGTCCCACGCATAATCTTATAAACCTCGATCACGTCACCCCTCGGCCGTCGTTTCTCCAAGCGAAAGAGCCCCAAGCGCTTTAACCTTTCCTCATAGGGAAAGTGTTCCGACCCTTTTATCATTCTAGTTGCCCTTTTCTGCACTTTTTACAATGCTATGCGGCTCTTTCACAAATATTGTGCAGCTTCCGGCAGTGTGGCAGGGGGAGCGAAGGGGAGGCGTGCCCCCCCACCCGTCTTCCCCAGCCAGTGCTCCCCTCCCTGGGTGGGTGGGGGGAGCAAAGAAAGAAAGCAACTTTAACTGCATTCTCAATGCTCCCCCTTCCCCCCCCCCCCCCCCCGGTCTGGCTTGGGAGAAGGCATTTGTCTCTTTAAATCCCTTTGCCAAGCCAGCCGGTGGGTGATGGGTGGGTGTGTCTTGGAGGACTCATTTAAAGTTATATCTGTTTTTACCCCTTTTGTTTTTATTTTTGGCAGTCTCATTTCATGTTAATAAAAAGCAAATCTGCATATTTTTTCAATAATAACGCGTAATATTTGTTCCTGCCTTGTGGCTCTCAAGCACCTGATGCTTATTCTGGGTGGCTCTTACGTTAAGCCAGTTTGGCCACCCCTGGTCTACTCTATAAAAATCAACAAGTGCTAAAAGGCAAGATGAATCCTGGATTGGGAAGAGGGTGGGTTTCTAATTCAAGCCTGTTTGCAGAGGTCTGTATCCCTTGCAATTAACATTCCCGATCACAGATACCATTGCATTTAAAGGACTTGGGGAGAACGGGGAGGGTAAAATATTTCTGCCTTAAAAAGGTAAAGGTTTCCCTTGCTCGAAAGCCTGTCGAGTCCGACTCTAGGGTTGCGGTGCTCATCTCCGTTTCAAAGCCGAAGAGCCAGCGCTGTCCGAAGACGTTTCTGTGGTCATGTGGCCGGCATGACTAAACGCCAAGGCGCACGGAACGCTGTTCCCTTCCCACCAAAGTGGTCCCTATTTATCTACTTGCGATTTCTTGCTTTCGAACTGCTAGGTTGGCAGGAATGTCTGCCTTACATGTAGCCATAGCTCAGGGTTCTCTTCTGGCAGTTCTGGGCTTCCTTAACACCAAATGTTCAGTTTTGAATTCTAAAAATCTCCCAAGATCAGATGCTGAAACACTTGTGGTCCCAGGAAAGACACGTTTGCTTATTTTGGTGTCTTGCAGCTTGATGTTCCCCCCCACAAGGAACCAAGGCAGGAGAATTTTTTAAAAAATGAACCTGCTTTTGAAGAAGAGGAGATTGGATTGATACCCCATGGCCCTTCACTACCCAAGGGAGTCTCATACAAACTCCTTTCCCTTCCCCTCCCCACAACAGACACCCTGGGAGGTAGAAGAAGAGGAGATTGGATTTATACCCTGCCCTTCACTACCCAAGGGAGTCTCAGAGTGGCTTACAGACTCCTTTCCCTCCCCCTCCCCACAACAGACACCCTGTGAGGTAGGTGGGGCTGAGAGAGCTCTTCTGAGAACTGCCCTTGAGAGAACAGCTCTTATCATAACTACAGCAGCTGGCAGGTGCCGGCAGCCTCAAAAAGTTTGAGGACCCCTGCTCTAGACCAGTCTAACTAACTTAACGTCTAACTACCAGTTTTTGATTTGTTTTAAGGCCGACACATTTAGAAGAAGAGAGAAGAGATTGGATTTATACCCTGCGCTTCACTACCCAAAGGAGTCTCGGAGCGGCTTACAAACTCCTTTCCCTTCCCCTCCCCACAACAGACCCCCTGTGAGGTAGGTGGGGCTGAGAGAGCTCTTCTGAGAACTGCCCTTGAGAGAACAGCTCTTATCATAACTACGGCTTGCCCAAGGTCATCCAGCCAGGTGCAAGTGGAGGAGTGGGGAATCAAACCCGGTTCTCCCAGATTAGTGTCCGCGCACTTAACCACTGCACTAAACTGGTGTAGGTGACGTGTGTATGGCATGTCCATCACTATACCACCGATCCCAAGATTCAGGCTGATGATGGGGCTGAGAAACCCAACTAGAGACACCTAGTACCAGAGCACACCTTCAGCCCAAGCCTGGGAAGACTTTTTTTTGATGAAATTAGTGAAGGAAGATGCTGTGCTGTGGTAACTAGGTAATGACAGGGCATGATGACTGAGCTGAAGGGGACAGCCAGGCCACCGTTTCAATGGGAAAAGGAGAAGCCACAGAGATAGGAACTGGGTTCCTCTCACGTCCAGAGCTGTTTGTACAGAGGATGGATTCTAAACAGTTTGAGGACAGCTCAGATACATCCCTAGAAACCAACTGCCTCTATCCCCCTTTCATGGGCTACTAAGGGCCTCGTCAAGAACAACAGCCTACACCAGAAGAACAGACCAAAAAAAAAAATAATGTTTTATTGTTCGACGATAGGCAGGGCAAACTCATCACTTAATGCAGGAGAAAATATATAGGACTTTCCCCCAACTTCTTGAGCGGAACTCATTCAAGAACGGAACACCAGCCAGTTCTTTGAGAAATGTGGCTCAACGGCCTCAGCTCTTCAGGAAAGGAAATTTCATGGAATAAGGACCGGTTATGGAAGTAGTGGCCGATGTGCCAATCCAGTGGCTAAATCTAAACCAGTCTCTGGTAGGTGGCCTCAAAGATAGTGACCGGGCTCTGGAGCTTCCATGCCTTTGGCTGCGACCTCCGACGGCTTGTTACTTGCCGGCAATAAGCGGGTTCCTCAGCACCACGATGACCGAATCTCCGCGCAGGAACATCTTGGAGATGTAGCGATCCTTGTTGACAGGCTTTGATTTCTTCTTGCCTTTCCCGCTCTTGGGCACCTCCGTCCACATCTCCTTGACGTTCTCCAACACCATGTTGCAGTGTCTGAAGGGGGAAGAAGTTGCTGTTACGTGGAGTCGAGACTCCCCCCCACTAACAAAAGGGGAGGAAAAGAAAGCACCCCCGAGATACTCTTCTGCCAAACAACATCACCGCCAAGGAGAGTCCATCAGGGGCTACTAGACGTGACTACTAAAAAGAACTTCAATATTCAGAGGCGGTACACCTCAGAAACCCAATATTACGAGGCCAGATCAGAGGAAAGCCTTGGCCTCTATGCTCTGTTTGCTAGCCCTGCAGGATAACTGGCTGGCTACTGGACTTAGATCATGCAGGGCTCTTTTTGTAGCAGGAACTCTGCTTTGCATATTAGGCGACACACCCCTAATGTAGCCAATCCTCCAAGAGCTTACAGTAGCCCCTGTAAGAAGAGCTCTGTAAGCCCTTGGAGGATTGGCTACATTAGGGGTGTGTCACCTAATATGCAAAGGAGTTCCTGCTACAAAAAACCCCCTGCTTAGATGGACAATTGTTCTGATCCAGCAGGGCTCTTCTTATGAAACCAGGGGCTGTGACTCAGTGAAAGAGCCTCTGCTTAGCGTGCAGAAGGTCCCAGGTTCGATCCGTGGCCTCTCCAGTTAAAAGATCTGGCAATAGGTGATGTGAAAGACCTCTGCCTAAGACCCTGGAGAGCCACTGCCAGTAGGGTAGGCAATACTGACCGTGATGGACCAAGGACCTGATTCAATATGAGGCTCCTTCATGTTTATGCATGTACAAGACGGGGACCCGTGATACTCGCGGGGGAGGGGGGGGAAGAGCTCTGTCTCCTCCATCCCCCCTCCCGCTCGATGTCCCGAGGCGGAGGAGGCGGCGGCGGCGAGGCTGGTCCTCCCCCCCCACCTTTGCTGGGCTTGGCGGTGGCGAGGCCGGTCTCCCGCCCGCCGGCTCCGA